TCCCTGATACCGGAAGTTTACCGAAAAATGTGTACTTTTTCCCATGATGCCTTTCGAAATCGCTGATGCAATGTAAGGTTACCAGAATAAATTTTAGAGCCAAGTGCATTGTTCAAAAGTAGCCAAGCTTTTGTTCAATCTGTCGTTGTTCGTAGTAGTATTGTTAATATTAGGTCGTTCGGCGTGTTGTAACGGGCTTGTAATTTTGAAGTTTTTATAACTTGTAATCGACTATGAAGGTTCTGATAACCGGTGATTCCATGATTAAATATATGTACCAATATTTACCGTCTCAGCTGTATGATAATAAACTGCATGCTCTCGCGTTTCCGGGCATAACAATAGAAAGGTTGACCAAAAAAATTTCATCCTTTAATGAATACGATTGTATCCTTTTTCATGTAGGGACCAATAATATGGATTCTACTGTGGATGACAGTGTCTTAAAATATAAAAGTTTAATTCGGGAAGTGAGTAGAGTGAATCCGTATGCGCGGGTAGTCATATCAGGAATTTTGCCCAGAGTGGATTCGAAGTATTTAACTTATAATGAGAGAGACGAATTGCGACCTCGACTGCGCTCTGTCAACAACAAGAGTTCTCAGTTTGAATGAAAAAATGATTGATCTCTGTGAAGAGCTGGATAATGTAACCTTCTGCATGTCATCTCGTGACTGGAGTGGATGCATGGCTCTGGATGGGCTGCATTTGAATGCAGCAGGAACACGGCAGTTAGCTACACTGTTTGTTCAAGTTTTGACGCAACTTTTAACTGAGAGTTCCAAAAGTACCAGTAAAATAGAGCTTCGAAGTTCATTGGATTTTCCTCCTCTCTGTGATGGCGGCAGCGATATTTTAACATCTTCAGCCTCTCCTCTGTATTCTGAAGTTGTTGCTGAATCAGCTCTGTCGAGGTATGTATATATATATATATATATATAATTTCTTTCCTTCTTCTTCGAAATTCAAACACAAAGAAATATTTTTACAGCAAGGCATTAAATATTTAAGCAATCTGTTTGTCAGCCAAGCTATGAATTTCTGAATCATACTAAGCAACTGTTGAACTATCAAAATCTTTATTCATTTTTCTTTTTAAAGTAATGAAATTTGACAAGTAAAATTCAGTGCCTAAGAATACAAATTGTATATTGTTTTCTTGAAAAAACTTAATGCTTCCTTGATAAAGCAGCTATTGCATTTAGTTGTGACAGCTGGAGAACGTAATCGCCCAGTCAATAACATTCAAATTTCTAATGTTCTCAAAGGCTTATGTAGTGGCTTCTTTAATGAGGAATTTTTATCTGTCATGGATCATTTCAGTGCAGAGGCAGATTACAGAACAAGAGGCCCAAGACTGAGTTCCTTATTTTATTATATATGTGCTTATTATTCTTCCCAACACTGTAAAATTCAAATTTTCTTTTTTGATGACACAACTATTCTCATGCAAGTTCAAACACTAGAAAAAAAAATCCATATTCAACTGCAAAATTATTTCTGTTTGTAGAAATATGGTTAGAGATACTCAGTGCAAAGTTCTGTTTCACGCAAAAAAAGTTTAACTTGCTATCCATTCCCATGTTATTTCAAGGCTACAATGCAAGAAATCACATTTGCATGTAATCTACTTGATAATAAACACACTTTTAAATTTCACTTTGCCAAAAACTCTGAAATAAATTCTTTATTTCTGTGGCAAGCTTGAGATATTTTCTTGGAAAATAAGTAATTTTTCCATTCACAATAAAAAATTAGGCAAGTAAATTTTATTTGTCTTATATGTTCTGTTGGGATTACACAGGTGATAAACATCAATTTGTTTCAAACTGTAGCTGTTTAAAAGACATTAACCTTGTGACTACAGATCACTTTCATGCACAAAGAATTACAATCAGATAAATATTTGTGTGTGTTTATAATAAATCTTTTTAAAGTGCATCACTTTGAAATCAGTCCTTGTCCTATGATTCTAACATGCTGCAAATGACGCATCTATTAAGATAACGGCAAATTTGAAAGTGAATGATGAAGTACAGAGAATTTTTATATGTACATGTAGGATATTTTGGTACAAAAGAATCAGTCCTTTGCCAGTCTTAATTTAATAAATGGCATTTTTGCTAGTGATTAGTATGTATTTCTTCTGGTTTCTGAAAATCTGAACGTCATAAATGGCTGAGTTTATTAACTATATGCATTATTGTTAGTGTTTTTTATGTATATATGTTATAACTTACCAGCTGCTCATTTAATATTTGTTAAGAAAATAATACAGCCTACTAGGCAGTTAATCTTCTGATTGCTGAAAATATTGCCTAAAGTCACTGCAGAGGAGAGCATCTTCTAATGAATCATCACTGCTGAGGGGAGAAAACGCATCCCCCCATGGCCTTAATTTTTGCATAGCTGTCAAACTTACCTCAGAAAACTGTGTGGCTGTTCTATTTAATAAATTGCTTATGGAAAAATAGTATTTAAACAGTAACATATATAAGCTACAGAATAAAGGGAAAAAACAGCATACAGGATAGTTTACAGTGCATTTTACAGCTTGACTTTAGCTTTGATGCTCTAAAATTGTTTTTTTTACAAAATAATGCAGAAAAGTGTAATCATAATTATTTTATTCCACAGGAAACTGCCATCACAGTTGAATGTGAAAGCTCCTTCAGAAACTGAACAGCAACTTCAAACAAGGTAGCTTTTTTATGCAAATGCATGAAGTACTACAGAATCTATAAATTTTTGTTCATGAACTCTTTGCTCTAAATTGATATTTATTATACTTCATTCATTGCATATAAATTAATTTTTTAAACAGAGAATTTCAACAGTGTTCATCTGCTGCTGTTACTCAAAAGAACCTAAAGGAAAATTCTGAATTGTCTTCTTTCTTGAGGTAAATGATAATTCATTAGTGGTGAATCGTAATCATTTGTACCCTATGCGGCATCCGTTTTTCATAACAGTTATTCCTTTTTAGTAATTTTGAGATTTCATGAATTATTAAAGAATTGGTAAATTTCTTTTTGTGCAACGGTAAACAAGATATGTTTCCTCCACCTTTCAGGAAATCTGCTCATCCAGATCCTAATGGTTGGATTCATGTAGGGCGAAAACGTTTCACTCAAAATATAGAACAGTGTTGTCAGTTGAGGTGAGATATTGTTTCTAACTTTCCAAGGACAATAAATTAGAGCTTTTATCAAGATTAATTTCTTAGGATGTGGATATGAAATTACTCATAAGCATAATGCTTCTATCTCCCATAGGAAGCCTTGCCTGGTTTCACCAAAGCATGTAGCATCTTTGAACTATGAAACGGATCCAAGGTAAATCATAAATTCTTGTATGCTTAATCAAACATTATTATTTATATTTTTGCAAGTCGTGTACATTTCATTAAATTATTATTCTTCATTTCATATAAATTAATTTTTTAACAGAGAATTTCACCAATGTTCATCTGTAGCTGTTACTCAAAAGAACCTAAAGGAAAATTCTGAATTGTCTTCTTTCTTGAGGTAAATGATAATTCATTAGTGGTGAATCGTAATCATTTGTACCCTATGCGGCATCCATTTTTCATAACAGTTATTTCTTTTTAGTAATTTTGAGATTTCATGAATTATTAAAGAATTGGTAAATTTCTTTTTGTGCAATGGTAAACAAGATATGTTTCCTCCACCTTTCAGGAAATCTGCTCCTCCAGATCCTAATGGTTGGATTCACGTAGGGCGAAAACGTTTCACTCAAAATATAGAACAGTGTTGTCAGTTTAGGTGAGATATTGTTTCTAACTTTCCAAGGACAATAAATTAGAGCTTTTATCAAGTAACCAAACACATTTTCAGAAAAAGGGACTGAAAAATGTTGTTAGAGCTGGCATATGGGAATCCATTTTAATGGATTGATCCCAGCTGAATATTGGGCAGCTCAGTTCAATATTCAGTTTTCTGCTGATGACCCACTTAGGTCAAAGTAAGAAATATATATATATCTTAATGTAATGCAATCATTATACAGGGTGTGAATCAAAAGTTTAAAGACTTACCTTGAAATAGAAATTTATTGGACATTTAAATACAGCGGACTAAAATTCTTCAAAATATAATACTTCAGCATCAACACACAGCGTGCCTTCCACTGTTCGTAGCCCTTCTGGAAGGCCTCGAGTGTCATGCTGTCAAGGGCTCTCGTCGAAGCCTGTTGGATGGGGTCGAATCGCTTTCCTTTTAGGACTGTCTTGATTCGGGAAAAGAGGAAAAAGTCACTTGGAGCCAAGTCGGGACTGTAGGGTGGCTGCGTCAGTGTTATCACATTGAACTTGACTCAAACGTCGGCGGGTGCATTGTCGTGGTGCAGAATCCAGACGCCGGGCGGACTCGATCCCTCAAGCGGCGGAGCACTCCAACATAAAAGTCACCTGTGACAGTCTGTCCACAAGCAACAAACCCTTGTGAATCACTCCTTGACAATTAAAAAAGCAATCAGCATGCACTTCACACGCGACTTGCTCATGCGAGCTTTCTTGGGCTTCGGAGAGGAAGCAGTGTGTTATTTTGAGCTTTGATACTTCGACTCAGGATCGTACTCGTAGACCCAGGTCTCATCACCAGTCACCTTTTCTCCAGAAGGTTCAGATCAACATTCAACCGTTGGAGCATTTCCTGGCAAACAGTCATGCATAATTTTGCATAACATCTGTATATATGCACAGAATAAACGACTTCTTTTCCAAAAGGAATTTTTTCAATGATTTCTGTACATACATATGTATTTATCTCACATAACTAAAAAAGATTAGCCGTAGAATGTTTGTTGTATATGGGACTGCTATAGTTGTGCATCTCTCTTTTTATTGTAATTGCCAGAACCAAATGTGTATATACACACACACACCTTTACCTAGCCTTAATTTTCACAATCATTGGCCCTAGTCTATACTCCCAATTATCATTGAAATGCTTTAAATGATGAAAATAGTTGTGTTTTATCAATGTAAAACTTTTTTTTAAAAAATTATTTTTGACAAATAACGAAATCTATTTTAATGCGATCTCCAGCTTCCTTATGTCTGCAAAAATATCTGGGACATTTTTATACTCATTATAAAAAATGAAATTATGAGAAGTTTGACTCCCATGTGACAAAGACTGAGCAGTGTTTTAAATTTCAAAATCTGCAGTTTTTGTATAATTTAATAAGTAATGTGATGTGCACATCAGATTTTGCATATGTATTTTAAAATTTTATACTCTTTAATTTACATCTAGTAATAATGTATTAGATTGAATTACATTTTATAATATATGTTTCTGGTCTTATTTTTATTTTAATGTTTGAATTTGTGTTGAGTCAGAATACATACGTGTGAGCATCTCAGTTAAAGCATGAAAATATGACTTTTTAAGTAAATTCAAAATAGTTTCATTCAAATAATTTTGAAACTGATAAAAAGCTTTCAGAGATTTGTAAAATAATAATAATTTGTAATTGTCTCCCGAATCCTTCTCTTGTAAACATTGTATGGTAAAAAATCTGAAAATATTAGTATATATGATGTTTGAATATATTCAAATCAAATAGATATTTATTGAAATTGTTTTGTTCTAAAGAGTTTATGTTCATAATGTATATTTTAGCATCTATAATCAGAATTACCTAAATCAAACTTATGTTTGTTTGTCCCTTCATAATAACTGATGGGCAACAAAAATAAGCTTGTTTTAGTACCTGACAGATTGAAGGAAAACCAGCACCTGTATATCTAAGTGGGTACTTTGCTGGGCCTTGCTAAGTATTGCTGGGCCTTGCTAAGTACTAAGCTTCCACCAAAATGGAATTTTGAAGAAGAATGCTCTGAATGTGGTCAGAAAGTCTCCTACCACCAACCTCTCAAGGATTTTGCCTCACCTTCTGCTTTTAGTGCTCCTTGCTAAACAACCATTACACACTTACATTACAACATCCATGCCTTCTTTGGGATTTGAACTCGAACCTTTTGGTATGGTAGGCAGCGTCATTAACTACTATCCTGTCTGGGTGCTACAGCATAGTGTTGCTATAATGGAAGATGTCTTGTTCTGTGAAGACATGAAAACAATCACAAAAGAAAAAGATGCCTTTCTGCATGTGAAGGAATTCTTTGTGAAGTATGCTCTTTTGTCAATCAAAACAAAATTCAGAAATCGCTTGGATGCTCAAGCAGATATGCGAATTGCTATTAACAATAAAGTGCCACAATTTGAAAAAAAATATCCAATACAGAGGAATAGAAATAGTTATTAATTATTGTTTTGAAAAATTTATGCAAATATTAAATTTTGTAATATTTTTTTAGTTCCATTTTTTTTATTTTTTTTTTATTATTAAAATTTGATTACATAACTGTTTTCTTTTTCCTCACCCTCCCTAGAAACTTTGTTAGGGGCTGCAAGAATATAATTTTTTAGAACTGCTAGACATGGAAAAGTTTGGGAACCTGTGTCTTAGAAGATGATATTGTGAAGTTCAGTTTTGAACTAATAAAGAATACTGTATATGTACATATAAAAAAATCTAATATCTATGTGAATATGTTTCAAACCTGTTTCTGAATATATATATATTTATTTATATTTACATAATACACTTAAAAAAAAGGGAAAATAACTAAAGTTTTCATTTAATAAACTAAATATACATGCAGGAGTAGTGTTTGACCTACTCCACTCTCATGTAGACATTACTCCTGCATGTATATGCAGGAGTAGTGTTTGAGCCCAATACTGGCATATGTGTCTATAGGAGTGAAATCATTAAGCAACTGGGAAACAAAATAATTTTGCCCTTTACAACATTAAATTTTTTCCATACATCTAAAGCATTCTTAGTTATATTGCTGTCATAAAATCTGGTCTAAATTTTTGTGAAATGTAAGTTAGTACATTGCTTATACCACTTGTCCATCAGAGTTCTTATGCAATCATTGGTTGTATGCATATATTGGAGTTTAAAAAATGATTTAAAAAAACATGTAACTTCAAGTTGCGTAAGTCAGGTATAACTCTACTTGATATGGGATTAAGACCAGGAAATTAGCTAGATGCTTTTAAACATGGACTGTTTATTGTATGACATTCTAACTCGATGAAAAGGAGATTATCATTTGCTTATATTATACATATCAATAAGTGTGGTGTTAACTTATTCTGAGTCTTTACATGCGGAAAGATCTTGAATATTCATAATAGTGCAACTTTATACCTGTTACTTGTGGTGTTTATGTTGCAGCAGTTTAGATAATTATTTCTTAGATTCGATACATAAAACCCGAAAAGACAGATTCCTGTGGTTTACACCTTTTGTTTGCTTTCTATCATCCACATCAGAGCACTTTTGGACTGACAGATTTCAAGTGTCCTTAATGTGCTTAAGCATAACAGTAAAAAATAGCTTATTTGAAGTTCGAATCTTGGCACAAGTGAGTCGGTTCTTCTGAACCATATTGATCAAGTTGCTGCATAGCAATGAATTATCTAGCATTAATATTTCAGAAAACACAAACAGTTCATTGTTTCTGGTAAAAAAAAAGGGGATGCAATGTCACAAAATAAGCGAAATGTAATCACAGAAAAACGCAATGAAGTTCATTCACTATGACATAAATCAACAGTGCTATGTATTAAATCGATGAAGAATTAGCAATTTAAAAAAGACTGGAAGAAAAATAATAGATCGAATAAGAAGCAGACTATATTACTTAAAATGAATGACTCGTAAAATTTCTGGGCTGGCGTAAACATTCAGGAAATGTAGTGTTAGAAGAATTAATGTGCAATTTGAGAATACAGTCAATGCGTGGGAAGGTGCAGAAAGAACGTCTATGCATACAACGTCGAATATATAATCTTTGTTTGATCAGTTGACTTATGCGAAAACCGGTTCTTTGGAGAAATCAAACGAGAAACAGTGCTTCAAACGAAACATTTTCGTTTAAGTATAAAATTATCTCGCTAGCTAGGCGAGACGCAGTTTTCAACGAAACATGTTTCAGTTAGGAACACTTCAGTAGTACACTGTTGGCCATTAAAATAGCAACACTGTGAAGAAAAGCAAATACAAAAAAGATATTTATTGCAAAAAGTAAATGTATGGCATACGACGTGCAGTCTCCTCGCTGCCTCCAGACACATATACGGCCATCAGAATATCACACGCTGAACAGGGACATGTCTGAAAAGACAACATTGTGACATTCTTTTATCCAGCTTTGTCGTTTGGTGCACCAGAATCACTGTCTCTCTCTATGCTGCATTTTCAAGGGAAGCCAAAGTAGCGGTCATCGTGTTGATAGTTCACTCCGCTGCAGGGCTTAAATTTTAAAATTATAAGTGCCGGAGCCCTATGGAAGACCGCCAGCAAAGAGCAATAAAAGTAAATAAATAAATTAAATGACTATTAAACTCATTAATAATTTTTAAAATTAAACAGTTAATTATAATCAAATTAATTAATAGCTATTTAATTAAAGTTTATAGATTTTATTCAATTAACAATTATTATATAATTCATTATAATTTAATTGATAATTATTAGATAATTAATTATTATTTATTGAAATAATTAAAACTAAAATAAATTGTAAAGCGACAAATTAAAATGTCATAAGCGATTTTTAATATAATTTTATTGCTAAAAATAAAATTTTCGAGTTAAAATTTCTACGGAAATTGTTATTCAGTTACATAAAAGAATTGCCGCAGCCTTCTTATTTAGGGCTCCGGTGCACTCCGGCTAGAATTGTAATTTATCTTGAAAACTGAGAAGTACCAGAGCTGGGCTCCGGTGCAATTTAAGCACTGCTCTGCTGCAAATGTCGAAGCACCGTACGAGCGGATACTCGGCGTACTGCAAACATACCCATTTCCTAACTAATGGTTCGTTATGTGTTTGTGCGGTTTTTTTTCAAGGCTAACCTCACAATATGTCTGTCCTCTCGAGCGTTAGTCAGGAGACGGCGTTGAGATCCTGCATGCCGTTCAGTATGACCCTCAGCAACCCATTGATTATATATTCGCATGACAGTGATTGGATGTCGAGCAGTGCGACGGGCGATATCGCGGAACGATAATCCACACTCTCTATGGGAAACAATCCTGCCTCTACCGATATTCCGACTCTTGCTGGTAAGAATTTCGTCTTAATATTTGAGGCATAACACGATATTCTGAGAAAACTCTGGCCGTACAAAGCGCGTTTCCGAATGAGAAATCCACTATACAACTTTTTTTATGCAATACGTCAGATGTCTTTTCTCCCTCCTTGCATGCGCTTAAATTCTAATCCATTTGCATACCAAATCTCTTCTTCCTTTCACGTGCTTTTACCGTTCGTCACATCATTCCTTCCTGGTGTTGCAATTTTAATGGCCAGCAGTGTAGGTGAGGACAAGCTCATTTCCCGAAAAAAGCAGTGTGCTTATATAAGCCTTCTCTTGTCTTACTTAAAACTGCCTGAGCAAGGTTTATTCAGTTAAGCATATCGACTAACGTGTCAACGTTCTATAACTTTGACTACTTATTTCACAGTTTTGTTTGCATTAGCTAATGAGAATGTATCCGAATACTCAATATAATCCAAATGAATAAATTCGACAGTGACTGCATTACCACTTTCATGGGAACGGACTGATCTTACTGATGCATCGTCTGACCTGAGAACCAGAATTCTGACAAGAGTGTAATACAGTTAGAACTGTATTGTTACTAAGTATTACAATAAGGCATTCAGAATCACCAAAAGGACAGACGCAGAGCTAGAATGGCAGTTTCTGGGAAGGATCGTGGGATAGCAAGAGTTACTGCAAATTAGTTGAAAGCTTCTACCATTCAGCATCACTTACCTACATACTCTAGACGTGTAGTTTTAAAAAAACAGTGTTGTAAGGAAAGGTGGTTTGAATTTTCGGCGTCTGTTGCAATATCCATAACTCCTAGGCATGGAGAGCAGAACAGAACACTGGAGACGAGCTCCTGCCCTGGATTAACTTTCAGAAAAAATCCTCAGATCTGCAGGAGACCATTCAGGCGGACGTAACTCACGCGGTCTCCTACGGACTTTATATATATAACATTGGACGAAAGATAACGCTCAGTCAATAAAAGTTCCGATTGGGTACCAGTCCGGTTTCAATGATTATATTTGATGTGTTGTTCCATCTACTAAGTGCACCAGAGGACCGAAGAGCCAATGACCCAATGAAAACGCCTCATATCTAATCATGTTGCGACCTACAGTGAATAGGCAGACAAGACAGTGCCATATGGTCCCTGCAGGTCCTGAATGGGGCCATATGGTCCTGAAACATTCTCTGAATGAACGTAGGTTCTAGTCCTGTAAAGACTGATTATACGTGGCCGAAACTGCCTTATGTATAGATCTTAGACAGTAGCTTCCCGATTTTCCGACGTAGATCCCCGGAGAGGGGGCATTGAGAGCAACGTTTATTCTGGTGTTGCGGCTGATAATTTTCGAATGTATCGGGTTAGAACTGGATCATGTTCTGCGATGAATTATGATTTTCGTTAGCTTGGGATTCATACGTGAAAGAAGATTGGCTTACCTTAATTCAGCATAGAAGTCCCAGTGAGCTGTGTACCCTTTGTCAACGTAAAACAACCATACCTCTGTATATACTGGCATTATTATCTAGGCAGCCAAATTCTATAATAACCAAATTTGTACTGATCTTTCGCAGCACTTTAAGAGCCCAATGATTTATGGACAAGATCCTGCCAACTTCTGTATTGCCAAAACTATGGCATTTGTCAGCGATCATCCTTGAGCAAGATAATAGCCAGCTGCATGCGGCCAACGCCTCCAAGGAATGTCTGTTTAATATTACAACCTCCCTTTTGCTTGCCAGATCTTCAGTTTTTTTCCCAAAAGTGATATGCATGAGGCGTGTTAGGACGACAGTTACAACCATTTGACAACGCGCATAAACCTGATCAACAATTAAAAACTCTTGTCATCAAGTTTCGAAATTATGTTTCAATTTTGTTTCTGAAAGTGCTTATAGGATTGAAACCAAAGAATTGAGTTGGCACTATTTATATGTTCGGAAATATGCTCTTCAGCCAATATGAGATCAATTATGCACGGTGACTATCGTTCTCTTGAAAGTTAACATTAGCATCTGGTGGAATAGCATCAATGAAGGAGTGTACGCAGGGCCAATGGTAGGTTCTTTGCCCCACGGTGCAGTCTTTGCTGTCTTAACTTCTGCCGCCCCCAGTGCCTCCCTAAATTCTAAAAAATTTGTCTTCCCTAAGTGCTACCGCCCGGTACGGCTGCACAGGCTCCGAACCTGGTCCTGAGTGAATGTGATCGGCAGCGATATTGTGGTAAGCTGTAGTGCTAATAGCTGTTTTCTGAGAGCATAATTTCATTGCCGTCAGTGAATAGTTGTCTCTTTTACAGTTGTCTTTTTTTCAATCGTCAGGAGTTCACTTTTAGGGATCTTGGGCCATGTTTATCAGTCCCTCTCCGTGGGTCCTTCGTCGACGTAGGGAAGAGACGGCAATG